GGTGACTCTGATCGGTTCTAGAGTAGAGCAGTTAGTACTCCCGCGCTTGGAATTGGTACGACAGAAGTACGAGAGACTTCTGTGTATTTTTCCTCCATGGTAACAGTACAGTACAGTACAGTACAGTACTTATCACACATTAATTAGTACCTAGTTCCAGTAACAAGACCCCGGAACTCCATCTTTGTGCTGCTGGAACAAGTAACATTTATTGGTATTGTATTATCAAGAAAAGGAGGGGGGCAAAAAAAAGTACCAGTGACTTTCTGTCAGGAACATGTACCAAAAAGGTACCAATATTTTTTCTGCCAGTTATTATAACCACCACATTTAAACAGTTCCAGGAACTGAATACGTTTAAAACGACAAGGGACAACAACAAGAACTGAGAACAGTACCAGTGCCTACGACCGATTCAACAGCACAAAATAGTCACCGTTTAAAAATCCTGATTTCTTCTGAAAACACTGGAGTTAAAATGTCATCATTCACACCAGTCATCCATTCACACCTGTTCACAACGATCCAGCCAATCACAGCCGTCTGAAACCATGTGACCGTGAACCTCGGCTTTACCTTGCCCACGTACTGATGGTCGTTCCCGGTGTATTCCTCCAGCAGAAAGAACTGATTCCACATCCATCCACGTTTGGAACGCTGAAGAATCTTCCCGTCTCCCTCGGACGTCGGCGGCAGTTTTCCAGTATTCCCAGGTGTGAAAGGCAGAGCCGTGCTGGGCCACAGGAGCGACAGCGTCAGCAGGAGGACCAGGAGAAGAACCTGGTTGGTTTTCATGGCGTCCAGTCGGCCGGAGTTCTGTCCAGGAACACTTTGGAATTATCCTGAAAGACTCGCACTGGGAAGCGTCGACAGAACGGACATTTTATTCCTGCCTCTGACGTCCGTTTGGTTCCTGTGGGAAGAGGAAAAAAAACATGAGACTCTGAGGAGCAGATCCAGGATCTGAAGACGGACCAGAACTCCAGATGAACTGGGGTCTGGTTGACGTTAACAGAAGCTAAACTATTGTCACGTTAGCTAACAAGTAGCCACGAATGGTGAATCGGAATAACAAAACAACCTAGGCTAGGTATGCTAGTTAGCTTAATATATATAATATATACTTTAATAACAATATTAAAACAAGATAAGCTAACTGTTAGCCAAATGGTTAACTGGTTAATTACAAATATGGAGATTGCTGCTGTCGTGAGTGGAGACAAATGAGTCAAAAAGACAGTGAATTAATTAGAACTAACGAAGGAAACATGAACGATGGGTCGTGAACCGATTCACTCCTGGAACCATTGGAGCAGCGTCACTTTGAATCAGTTCAAGTCCTCTTTACCGGCTGGTTGATTCGTGGATTTTATTATTTTATTCGTCTTCCTGTCGAACAACAACAGTCAAAGTAACTGTTTACTTACAGTAAATTTCTACAAACCCAGAACCCTGGTACCGATTTTTTTTAGGTTTTTTTTGGCTTCACAGCAGCAGACGTTTCGTCAGGACCGTCTCCGTAGGAACGGAACAGTAATTAGGTTTAAATGTATAATTGATGGTCTTTTTTTGAAAGTTAAATCTCATAAATCTTTCCTTTTTTTCGTCTGTTCTTTTATTTCTTCGGTGTCGGACTTTTTCTTCAGGGACCGATGTGTGAAGACGACTGTGAGCTCACGCTTCCTCGGCTTTTGTTCAGGGTTTTTTTTCTTATCTTTTTTTATGTATAATTTACACGAACAAAAGACATTTTCACTGGTTGTGAATTCATTTGGTTTCAGTCCCGACGACGACGACGTCTGAGACTCTGAACCAACGAAACAGAAACAGTTCTTATCGTTGTTATTGTTACTGTTTTTGTTGTTGGGGGAAAAAAAACATCTTTTTAGTAGAAGTTTTTTTTTATTCCCTAGAAAATTAAACATTGACTGAAAACATTTTTTGGTATTTTTATTTAAAAAGTACAGTCAAAGAGAAAAGTTTTTGTCAAATAAACACTTCCTATTATTATTTAGCAGTTTTTATCCCTTTCATCGACAACTTTTTTTTCACTCTTCTTTCCTACAAGACATTAGTTGACGCTCCCTTAACACCTGACTTTGACGAATGTTGATGGTTTCTTCCACCTAGTCCTGGTTGATTCTGGTTTTGTTCCTCACCCTGGTCGATCTCTGCAGATGCTGCGTTCATGGTCAGTGGGGTTTTTTAATATTTTGTCCAGGTTGAGTTCCTCTTTTATAATTAACCCTTTGTGTAGTTTTTCTCTGGTTTGATCTGCGTTCGTGCCCCTCCTCGGTCAGTGCTTCTTTAGATTCTGTACCACTGGGGGTTTTTTTGGGGGGGGGGAGTTTGGTGATTTTAATGATTGATGTGAAGGGACAAATTAGCTTTTTAATAAAATGTTGTTGTTTTTAATCCTGGCTCTGACTGGAGTTGGCAGGATCTGCTCCTCTGCTCTTTTCAACAATCTGCTGAATTCCACATCCTGCTGGTGCTGAATAAGAACTTCTTTGATCAGATGCATAAACGGGCCGTTCATCACAATACGTTTACTGGATGAAAAGGAAAAAACAACCAGAGAAAAGCTCCGTGCTGCAGAGTCACTCTGTAATAACGTGTGTTTCCAGGTCCAGACGTCGGACCGGGCTCTGCACGGGTCGGCGGGTTTACGGCCCGACTGGACCCCGGTGAGTCCCAGAGTCCCAGAGTCAGAGTCGCTGGTGTTTATTAGAAAACTGCTCTGTCCAACGTTGACACGCACCACCAGTCCTACATCGGTCGTCTGAGGACGGTAAAAGGAACATTTGGAGTTCCTGCTGCCGCTCTTTATCAAAATATATAAAATTTAAATAGAATGAGAAAATATAATTCATTTTTCTGACATTTCACGCGTTCAGAAATGTCAATATCAGCCCGAAAAATGAATAACATATCAAACCGTGAGGAGTAGTCACTGGTCATACCATGGCACTACTCACTCTTGTACAGTAGGTGGCAGTATGCTCCTAAAAACGTTGGTTGTGACACACTATTAAACCCAGACGTCAGGTCCCTACATTCAGGTGTTGGAACAGAACGTGGGAAGAACTTGTTCCACAGACACCAACAGTGTTCTCCAGTGGAACTGTTTCCACTTCCTGGTTTTTCTCTTCTTCTTCTGTTGTTGTTTCATATATTGACCAGTTTAGTCAGAGCAGATCAATGGTGTCAGTTGATGAGGTTCACAGACCAGTTCAGTCGGTGATGGGAAACGTATCGTAAACATAAAATTGTGAATCGTATCGTGAGTCGACTGGATCGAGAGGAGATCGTATCGTAAACATAAAATCGTGAATCGTATCGTGAGTCGACTGGATCGTTACATCCCCGATCGTCAGTCAGTTTTTCTTGTACTCCTCTAGTGAGCTGTACCCTTCAGTTACCTGTTCTTAGTTTTTTTAATGGAGGGGGGGGGCAGTATATCTTTGTGTTATTACAGATTTGATGTTTATTTTGTATGCCTGCTCTGGTCTTTCCTTCTCCGTGCTGCCGTGTTTAGTCACGCTCTGCTCTGACAGCACTCACACTCTGTATTAACTGTAAAAGACTTGTTGTCTCCACTCAAATATCACAAAAAGCCAATCTCTCTCCTACTCAGTGATTTTTACAACCATGCGTTCAGTTATTAAAAACTCCAACACAACCATAAATCAGTGGGAGCAGCGGCTCAGTGATTGGTTGAAGACAAAGACGGCAGGGGGGGGGGGGGGGGGGGGGGTTCTACAATGAGGCTGCAAGGTCGTCCACCTCCGGGAGGGATTTTTTTTTTTTAACCTGCTCCCCTCTCTTTTTTCCCGGTGATTTACGTCGGTTTCTGGTCGTATTTCCTGCTCTGACAGACACTTGAACATGTGTGTGAGAAAACAGGCAGCGCTTTGATTGACACTTGGTGACACAGAGTGTAAATCTAACAGGGGAGGGGGTGGAGGGGGAGGAGGTGAAAAGCATCTAAACTGTTGTAAATCGCTAACTTGCTAACCTTTAGCAACCTCTGGACGTAGCTTTGAGATCTTTTCTCTTGTTTTCAGATCTGTTTTTTTAGCCATCACTGGGCTAGCATGTGTTATCAGTTTTGGGGGGGTGGGGGGCAGAGGGTTGGCTGGTTTCGTATTTTTGATTTTTTACCGTCATCTTGAGTTCACTGTGAGGTGATTGGTTTACCGCCGATCTTTAGGTGTTAGCCCAATCTGTTCCATACGTGTGGACTCAGATTTTTATGATAAAACTCAGATTTTAAATTTGAAGAAAAAAAAAGTTGTTCTATTTCTGTACTAAAATGACCCACAATGCCGTGCGTCATCCTTCCTGTGAATCATCACTGAAGTACGACGACCCTGTGTTCTGGTAATCAAAGTCTAACAGAATCATAAATAACTCCTCAGTAATTTAACGTAGACAAAGATGGAGGTGGGGGGGGGGGGGGGTCCGGGGGTGAGGTGTTCGTGGGGGAGGAGGGGTTGAAGGTTATCAACCTGATTAGACTCTGAGATGATTTTTTTCACCTGCTCTCCCCTGATTTTTCACTCTCTGCCAATACCATGATTTACGCCTGTTCCTGCTCTGACGAACACGGATGTGAGAAACTGGCAGCTCTCTGATTGGCACTTTGACGAGGGGGGCAGTGATTGCTGGGGCAACTCTGACACATGGGGGTAAATCTGGAAGAGGAGGAGGAGGAGGAGAAGAAGAAGAAGAAGAAGAAGAAGAAGAAGAAGAAGAAGAAGAAGAAGGGGAGGACGAGTCTTATCACGCACCAGGACCCATATGCATTAGCGCAGCCCTCCACTTGGGGGCGCCCTTGTCCTTTCCTAAATCCGCTGTTGTTGCAGCTGAACCTCGGGAAGCTTTAACGCTTGTTTTTTTACTATTTTATTTTTATTTTTAAAGATCCTCTGAGTAATTTAGTGATACAGTTCACACATCATTTTAAAAAGACAGATTTAG